TTTCTGCCGATAGCACTATCAACAAAGAATTGTCTCTTCGTATCGCTAAAACACGATTGGCATTTATCAATCTGAGGCACTTGTGGCGTCGTCGCGACGTCTCATTCTCACTAAAGGGCCGCGTTTACAGCGCATCAGTTCGTGTAGTATTGTTGTATGGGTGCGAGTGCTGGCCGATTCGCGTGGAAGACATGCGTCGTCTTTCTGCCTTCGAAAACGGTTGCTTAAGGAGGATCGCTCGTGTTTGGTGGCAACATCGAGTTAATAGTAATGATGTTCGACGTCGCATCTTGGGGAATGCGAGTATTCACTTCAACAAACTGGTTTTGTTGCGCCAGATAAGATGGCTCGGTCATGCCGTACGCATGGCACCTGAGGTTCTACCGCGTCTCGCTCTATTCGCTCGTCAAGGACTTGGCTGGAGGCGACCGCGTGGTGATCAGCCTTCCACTTGGCGGCAGCACATGAAATCGCTGACGTCGTGTCTAGTCGCTGTTGGATCCGTACATGTTCCAGGATGGGGACCCAAAGATGAGGAGTGCCAATAGCTTAGCACTCTTGAAGACATGGCCCGCAACCGGAATCAGTGGAAGAATTGTGTACAGTGTTGTATTGATTCACATGTTTAATATTACAAACCTTGAAAATGACAAAAAGGAGAAAAATCGGCGTGTGGAAAGCAAACTAAAAATGTTTTGTTCTACTTTTCGTCAACACGTTCCATTCTTCCTGCGGCATATTAGCTGAAGTGTGTTGCTCACCTTCAACTAGCATGCCACGGTGCTTATGATGCGATGACTCCTCCTTATCCGCTGATCTCCATGGTTTTCTGTTGGCTCTTTGTCTAGTTGATAGACTGCTGAGATTACTGTTACTATTACTACTACTATTACTACTACTATTACTACTACTACTACATCTTCTAGATCGTGTGCGGCGATTGCTGTTTCCATGATTTTATCAACAGCGAAGTTAAATGGGAAAGGTGAGATCGGGCAACCTTGTCTCACACCGCTAGTGATTGTGAAGGTTGGCGACAGTTTGCCATAAACCCTCACTCTGCCCGAACTATGCGCGTACAGCGCTTTGATAATGTTTACGTATTTATCAGGCACACCTTTCCTCAGTAAACGGTCCCAAAAGGCATATCGATCGACTTAGTCGAAGGCACTTTTTATGTCAAGAAACACGACAACGGTCTATCGCCAATAAATATGGCGGTGCTCCAACAATTGGCACAAGGTGATGTGGTCAATGCAGCCCCGATCTCGACGAAACCCGGCTTGCTCTTCACGAATCTGGCTTCCACTGGTGCCAGTCAGTCTGTGGAGGATGACAGATGCAAACAATTTAGAGGCAATTGTGACCAGACTGATCTCTCTAGGATTGCCGCATTCCGAACGGGAGCCTCCCTTGAAAATTGGGACTTTGACGGAGCGGCTCAAGTCTATCGGGACAGTCTCCTGCTCCCATAGTTTCCTTAACAACTCGTGTACATCATCTTTTAGAGCATGTCTCCCGAATTTCAACTGCCTGATCTTACGTTCAACTTCTACGCGTGAGAGCGGATCCAAGAAGGCGCCCTAGGGAGAAGGGCGCTCAATGCCCGAAAATGGAAGCGATAACTCAGGTTGGTTAAATTGCCTTGCAAACTGTTCGGCCCAACGCTCCTAGCGTTTTGGCGCTCTGTGGATCGACTTCCCACTCTCCTCACGTATGGTCTCGCTAACACCAGGTTTCCTGCTGCCTGTTGCCCCCATCAGATGAAATAACTTACAATAATTACCAACGGTAGCGGGTTTCCATCTCCGAGGCATGATGAGACCACCAGGCTTCGCGGTCTTTCTTCAGGCTAGCACGCAGTTCTGCCCTGAGGTTTATGCGAGCCTCATTATATTCGCTTCTAGCTGGAATACGTCGGCGAGCATCCATAAGTTCCAGAGACTGTGCAGCGACCCACTGTCCAGTTTGGCAGTTGGATTTGCCACATGAAGACCTGCCTGCTGGTAGTAACGTTTGACGAATATGCGACCAGTGATCGTCGACGATGTTCAATGGGCGCTTACTCAGCCCGGATGTCGGCGCACTTTGATACACATTCAGAACACCTGGCTTCGCCAATTGGCTGGTGTCAATTCGTTCACATCGACGTTGCGGATGTCCACCGAAATTTCACTTGGAGGTCGGTGCAGACAAGTGCGTGGTCAGAGTCCACGCTCGTGCTCCAAATCGAGTGACAGTTCTGGACACAGCGTCTCCAGCGGTAATTGATTGCGATATGATCGATTTTCTGTAACGAAGGAGATCGTGGAGTTACTGATATAATTCACCGAATCAGTGCTACAGTTTGTAGGGGCGCTTACCGCAATGACAAACAGGCACCGTTTGTTCCCGCGCGACTTCGTAACATGGAACGAACCGGTTAATCTAACGGCGCACATCCGATTGTTGACTGGGATCCAATCGATCAGGACAGCTTCAGCCCGGGGACTGAGAACAATACCGACGCTAGCTTAGTCGGCATTTGAAGCTGCAGCATCACCAGACAGGTGCAATGAGAATGTGGCGGCAGTGTCGTATGTGGGTAAGCACGGAGCTGGAATCTTGCAGGCAGGTTTCTGGTAAACAGCAAATATCCATCGATAGTGTCTCCAGTGTGCGGGCAAGTGCTGTCTGTTGGCCAATCTGTAGCAAAGTGCGCACGCTGAGGTATGCCAGTTTTAGCGAGAGGCTAGGACTCCAAAGGGAAACGGATGAATTGACGTTGTCCGCTTGGTTGAACATGGACTTGTCGACTGGATTGGAGCGACACGCTGCGACTATGTGTGGGTCGAAACTAGAAGACAAGCGACTATTGAAGCAAGGTGGGGGAGGGCCAAGAATTGGGGGATTGAAAATTGGAGGGGATAAAAGTAAAGTTGGAGCGGGACGATAAGGATGAAAAAGCGCAAGAAGGGGGATAAGAAGACGGGAAGGCTTGAGCAGTAGCAGCCAAACCCCTATCCACCCTGCTGGATGCAGCAGATAGGGCACCGTTGATTACTCTCTGTGACGGCCAGAGCATCACAAAATTGTTAGAAGAAAGGTTCATTGTATTGCGTGGGCAGAATACTGTCAGGTTGTCCAGGCCTAGACAGGAGAACGATTAGGGTTCTCAACCAAAGCCTTTGGTTCAAAAACCTTACTGCAAGGCAGCGGGGTTTTGGCATTGGACTACAGGGAGCCCGTTTTATGGCGTAAGGAGCAACCCTCACTCCAATTCCCAACCTGGAAAGCCAGGAGATTGAGTTTGTCAGGCCTATAACCATTGACCAGTTTGGTATGATTGGCTCTGAAAGTGCAAAACGCACCGCCCAGCATAGCTGAATGCATTACTGAGGCATACAAACCATCCCACCACGTTAAGGTCCAGTCTGCTCGCGGTGGTTGCTTCCTGCTACTATAAGTAGTAAATCTTTATTTAGCACTTACACTCGATGGCGGACAGATTTGGTGGACGCAGGCAGAAGACAAGGTTGCCTTATGTTATCATTTCGACTATTCTGATCACTCGCAAACTTAATACGGTGGAAGTTAACGTATGTGCATGTGTAACAAAATTATACGGATAAGTCGAAGTTATGTTATCAAGACCAATGCAATCTGATGCTACCAGATTTGTTTTTGTGTGCACAGTCCCGGCCGGTTTACCGCAATCGATCACTGATTGCCAGCATATTCGCGTTGCGGTTGATCAATAGCATTTTGGGGGCTTTCTTTGGATCCACATGATGACCTGTCATCACGAGTTGTCTTGTAATACGAGGCGGGGTTCCGGCTCTCCAGTTGATCCTTCACTCCTTTTTGCACCTTGAATTGTTTCAGCCACTTTTGGTATTGTTCAGCAACCCTTTTGCCAGTCGCCTTTCGGTTCTGCCTATATCGACGTCTTCGCAACTGTAGGTGAACTGGTAACTAATATGATGAACTGTCAGGACGGTAGTTGAGCTCCGTTCTCCGTGTGGGGTGAATGATCTATAGACACGCTGTGGTATAAGTGCGCGTTACAGCAGACCTAACTATATGACCAATTTCATTTGAAACATTGGATATTGATCAACTGCAACTCGAACATGCTGGCAATCAGTTAGGTATTAGGGATTGCGGTAAACCGGCCAGTACTATGCACGCAAAAGCAACTGGGGCAGTATATCCGATTGCCTTCGTCTTGATTGCTCAACTTTGGTTCATCCGTATAATTTCGTTTCCCATGCACACACGTTAACTTTTTTACGTATTACGTTTGTGACTGATGAGAGTAATCGAAATGTGAAGATACCACAACCTTCGTCTTCTGTCTGCGTTTGGCCAAATGGGTAAAGGGGACACAATGTTTGACGGACAGATTGCCACTATTGCTCGCTTGCAGCTTGAGCTGAGTGCGTGGAACTATTCCTGTCTAATTGCGAATCTATTCATCTATTCAAACACGTTTCCTGCACTACAATCTGTTCTGCTAAAAGCCCTTAATTCTCATAACCCAGATAGATAGGTTTTTGTCGGCACGTTATTATGCAGCGATTTTTGCAGGAACACTGGTGATGATTTTTAATGCCTTCCAGTATCTTGCCACCGAATGGGCTTGTCTAATGGTCAGGATACACAGATCTATGAGAATACCGCAATCCATTGTCCTTGTTAACCTAAGTAAACGAACAATGAGAGTAAAGACGGAAAATTCAATGGACCAGTGATAATAGAAGAAAACCCTAACCCCCCCTATGTGCCAGCGCTTTTACTTGGTATGTCTATCGTATCGCACCTACACACTTCATTTACTGTTTGTAATACAGTCTTCTTTATCTGATACTACATTTTGTATTTTTTGTGTAACTGTTACTGGAATTCAGTCGCACGGCGCTGTTCTTTTACGACGTTTTCACATCAATTTTATCTTATTTGCGGATTACTGATTGACTGTTACCCATGGTTCCGTATGATTTGTGCCCTTTGTTTGTTAGATTCTGGCCGCCAATCCTGATCTATATCCATCTCTCGCGGCACAGACGCGACCCATTTCTCTTCTTCTGGGGTTGTTGGTCCATGAAAATACTGACATCAGCTTGGCTGTGATTGATCTTCTTCATGAACTGTTGGAGGTGAACGGGTTAAATGAAGCCGGGCCGGACAAGGTGAATCCGCTGCTCGATTTATTGTTCAACGGTCAGCTCATCCAACTTTTGATGCAAAACATCTCTCGACTGGATGAATCGATCAAAGATGAGGCTGATGGCGTACATAAAACTCTTGGTATGTGTATCGCGGATTAGCTTAACCTGCGCTATCCCAACGCCCATACGGGAATTGTTCCGTTTAATTTACTTAATAAACTATTACCTGATCGACGAACTGCGGTGGACTAATGGTCATTGTTTATATCGACACCCTATTCATACCTTAATCAAATTATGGAAATAGAGACAATGCACTCAATTTTTTAGACGCAAATCCATTGGAACACATTAAGAGTGATCACTATTGCTGCTGAATAGCGAAGTTGAAAACAAGACATACGTGGTGTACTCGATTGCATACTTACTTTTTCTACTGTTCCATTCTAATTGACACTTTTAGATCCTTTTAGATATTGCTTTGTAGTCCATTTTATTAGGTGACCTCTAGACATACTCTGTCTATTGAAGCTGAGACCTAGGAGACAGTTGTTCCAAATTACCGGACATGCTCTGTGTGGTTTTTTCATTTTCACTTTGTATCAGACCTATCAGCCGGCCGTTTCAGCTATCACTTCATTCCTGAACTGGTTTTGTACTTTGCCTAAGTGTTACATGCAATGCTAAAGGGTCATTACGGGTCTTCGACTACGGTTGAATTCTTCGTGCCTCCGTTGTATCGCAGAAATCATAAAGGGACTCTTCTCATATGAACCCCAACCGGAAACGGACTTCGCACCGTTAGTATTACAATATAGTGTCTAAGGGTGTCGTTGCTTTTTATTCTTTCGTAGGTCCACGTTGATTGAAGTTCAGCTACCACTGAAGATGAATTCTATCGGCGCCTCTCCACTGTCGGAACTATTGATATCCTGATGGTTTCTTTTCACACGAATGTCCATACCAACCGCTTATCTGAATCCATCTGTGAATCGATGACGAGAATTTACCAATTACGCTTCTGTCTGTCGGAAGCACTGCGTTCGCACCACGCTTCTGCTACTTATCAAACGAATGGATGCCGGTGACCCAACTCCATCTTATGACTATCATTTGGCGATGAGCACTTTCTTACGAGATTATGTGCCCAACTAACGCATTTTTTGGATTCTGATTATGAGCATTAGCGTGCTGTTACAGCGCTTACCTTTCCGGCCTCACTGGGGCGCCCAGCATTGTAGCCACTTGCCAGTGCTGTGAAATTCCACTCTGCACTATGGCGCAATCACTCTTAGTTTGAACGTCGATCGTTACTGGTCCTCCTTGTTAACTAGTCACATACTGATTAGTCGCCTCCAATGCACCAAATGTAAGGATCCGAAGCCTCTTGTACATATGGTTTGATGCTTACGAATATTGGGTGGATTTCCGAAGCTTTTATCAAAGCGCGAAGACTATCCTGTTTCTCGTCATCCGCAACTCTCTCTAGCGGCTTCTTGCCATTGCGATTTACGAGGTTCGTCGGCGTTAGGTAGGTGCGTGATCTGTATTCAATGTTAATTGGAAAAGCCGTGCTCGAACTCTGTGTTACGACAGTATCCTACTCCGTTTCAACCTACGTGGTCTCTCCTTTTACTTGAAATGAGATTAAATGCTTGAATTAACTCGGTCTTTATTCGTTACCGAATGATTGCGCAAACGTGCGTGGTACTAGATCTGCCCCATTCATGCCCTATGGTGCACTGGATTGGTACCTTATTATCGGTTTTTCTCAACCATCGTCCACAAGTTCAAAACGAACCAGGAGACGTCGTGCGTACATCAGGCTTCAGCAACTCAATAGTCTTCGGAAAAGCGGAACCATTGTTTTCCAAGCCTTCTTCCGCCAAAACAAGATTTATCATCAATGCCTTTGTAGTGTGCCTAGTGTTTGCACCTCTTCCTGCATTGAACTCCTGTGCCACTACCTCAATCGGTCTTCTCTGTTTGTATTACTACATTCATAGAGCATACCGGATTACTTTTCTGCGTGCTAACATCCATCTACAGCGATTGTCGGTTTTACATGAGGGTCTGGAAGAGTCTATTATCACAGTTAATCTCCCGAGCGGAATGACTACCCGGTTTTATCTCTCCTACTCAACTATCTCCTGCCGCCTTTCTTCGAATGTGTGTTCAGCCTTGATCGCGTGTAAACCCTTCTGAACGGTCTGACGCAGGGTACTGCATATCTAGGCATGTTTTTTCGCACTTTCAAAAGGTGAGGTGTTGTGTGCCGGGTTCACCCAGCCGCGTCAGCAGAAAGAATTCCCACCGGCTCTGCACACCAACGCTCTATTCACAAGTCTGAGACAGAGTACAATTAGCTGGGCGTTTAACAACTCACTCACCCACTCCATCGATCGCCTGATCGACCGCACTAAGACAGGCGAGTCCTTTGCCCCAGCTTTCCGTCACATCAGGTCCTTCCCTTTTTTCTTTTTCTTCGTTGTGTTGATGTTGCAGGTCCCGTATTGCCTTCCACTGCGACAGAGCTTTCGAAACTGGGCTGCGATCTGAGTTGGCTTATTCGGCTGGTGCGGCTTCTCTTCCGAATGCAGAACCTGTTCACCATATCACCTTTTTAGCCGCATTTGTTGGGTGCCCTTTCTTTTCCGACCCTCAGGTGCTCTTCTTTTCCGACACTTCTCAACTCTAGGTATCTGTTTAAACCATATTTCCTTTTTAGGCGCTATAGTATGGGGCTGTCTTGGTTTGGGTTTGTGACGCGTCCTCCGGCGCCGTGAAAGCTTTCGAAGACGGTCTTGCAGAGGATTAGTGGAATTTTTTCTGGTTGCAAATGTACGGTGGCTCCAGTATCAGTTTGCGCTTGAACCAGTTATCCTTGAATCGCCAGTTTTACATTAGCGCATCTCTCGTAATGATCCTAATTGTTATTTACGGAAATCCTTTGGGCTTCTTACTGATTTACGCTATCCAGTGACGTAACGTTGGTCAATCGACAGCAACGGGCGAACTGGTTTAGCCAGTCTTCATAATTATCACCAAATCTCTCGAGCATTTCTGGAAGATCCGTTTTTGTCGTGATCACAGCAATTTCAAGTGTTATAGTATCTGCATCACATCATGGCCGATGGCGTACCTGAACATGGCTAACTGATACGGCGTAGGAAATCCATCCAACTCGATCAGTGTCGGGAAGTTCATCCACTTCGCTCTCCACAGGCGCCAGTTTTCGGGCAGCGAACCCTCCGTCATCTGTAATGGAGTCGGCATCGCTACAAACGACTGCTAGCCAAAGCAAAGCTGCTGATTACTCATCGTTTTCTTCTTTTCCTCTGTCACCATTTTTTGTATCTGGTTCACCCAGCCGGCCTTGCACTCAAACGCTCTATTCCCAAGTCTGAGGCAAAGTACAATCAGCTGGGTGTTTAACAAACTCGCCCACTCGATCGACCGCATTAAGACGGGCGAGTCCCTTCGCCCCAGCTTTCAGCCACATCTCCGTCTGATCTTGTCAACATATCATCAGTTTTCCCTACGAGCAGCCACTGGTGGAGTTGGTCTGTTCGTTTAACACAGTTGTCTATCACCTCTGCTGATGAGTTTACTAACCGTATCAGTATCCGCCGTTTATTATTTCATGGCTTCAATCACACTTTAAGGTGATGTTGTTATTTTCTCGATGTGGCTGTGAGTTTTGAGGACGTTAAGAGTTCGAACATGTTTAACCATTGATGATTGTGAACTTTTGCGCTTGTCTAGCGATAGTGACGAATTACCCCTAATGGAGTTGGACAGTTGTTTCTTACGAAAAGTCCTCCCCTCACCTCACCGGTTCACGCGCTTAGCTCTAACTACTTGCGCTGGTTAAGTCGCGTTATCTCTTTGCATTTAAAAAGCCTACTTTAGCTTGTTCTTAACGAGAGCCTCCGATCAGTCATTAACTGTTGCGTTAGCGTTGCCCGTCGGGACCCGGTAGCTACTATTCCAATGGTCCCAAGTTCGAAGCCTGTTATCTCTACCTGATGAGATCAAATAAGATCGAAACGCGTCATGGTGTACAGTGTTTTCGAGCTAGCAAAACCAAATTTCCATCTGCTTCGGCTAAGATCCTAGTAATTGAATGACAATGGTTCACTTCAATGGGAATCGCGGTCCACGTTGAGTGTGTGCGTCGCAATTCATTCACACAACATGAGCTGCAAAATGTCCCTCAAATTCCCGTACCTGATTTGTGTGAGTTCCCAGTGTTGTTCGTTAATGACTTGGCGAAAGGTGTGAGTGGTCTGTTCGAAATTTAGTCGGGTCGGTGCATGCACATGGGTTACATCGGATCGGCCTCACCTGTGGTTAGAGTTTCTTTGCTGCATATTGCAGCCCTGAACTTGGTGACCACCTTGCATTGTTCCCAGTTGTCAGTTTTATCTCGCTTTATCATTCATTTTTTCTGTATGCTTGTGCTTCTTACTGTATTACTTTTATTGTTTTCATTATGGTTATCATCGCTATTTTCGTAGCAAGTGCGTTATGCCGGTTAGATACACCGCACTAAAATGTGACATTTCGTTACCTTTGGAAACGAGCCTGCTTATTCATCTCCATCCTACCGTCTATCTCCTACCTTTGCCTCACGTTTAGCGTGTCTTGCTTTGGCGTTGTCATTCTAGCTCTTTGAAACACTATTTCCGTCTTTTTATTTCCCTGTAGGTATTGTGGAGAGCCTGCTCGATGCCAGACCTGAAATGAATGTTACCATGTCCAACCAAGGTCTATTCTCCTGGCTTCTTCGTCGTGTGCAACGTCGCCCGGCCTTCGATCGCAATAAGTTATACGTGAGCGAATTGCTCTCCATTCTGTTACAGCTGGATGAAGCCAATCGCCGCCACTTAGGAGAAGTCGACGGTATAGACATATTGCTTCAGCAACTGGCACTCTATAAACGTCATGATCCATCTAGCCGCGAAGAGATTGAGCTGATGCACAATTTATTTGACTGTTTATGTAGTGCTCTAATGCTTCCCGAGAACAAAGATCGATTTCTCAAAGGTGAAGGAATACAATTGATGAACCTGATGCTTCGGTGAGAATTGATATTATCCTTCTCTTACTAACCAATTTTTTTTTCATTCTCTGACAACTCAGCTGTAACCGTCACTTAGGTACTTGTCTCATTTGAAGTCTTCTTGTCTTCGAACGCTTGACACGCTGGCTATCGCCTGCTCATGCTCTCTTGAAAACAACCGATGTCGAACCATTCGACTTCCTTAACACATGGTACACCGGACCGATTCTTCTCAATACACTGAACCGAGCATACTACTGGTTCGTGAGCGACGACAATTACCACTTAACATACTGATTCCTGGTTTCCTGAGAGTTACTATTTGCTTATTTGTGTTTGACCCCATGCACTCTGCACAATGATAATTGCCAACAGTTGAACTTCTTCCAATCCTCCTTCCTGGTATTACTGTTCCACATTTATTTGTTTTAGGGAAAAACACATGTCACGTGATAGTGCCTTGAGAGTGCTGGATTATGCTTTATGCCAAGTCACTCCGACCGACACATCTGCAAGACAAACGATAGTTAATGCTGACCCGGATGCCCCATCGAAGCCAGGCGGTGGTATCAACCCGGAGTCGGTAGTTGTCGCTAATTGCTCCAAGTTCGTAGAAGTTCTTGGTCTGCGTACTATTTTTCCTCTGTTCATGCATAGTCCTCGTGAACGGGTTTCTCTTCCCAAGAAATCAGCGAGCAATAAGACAGACAAACAGAAATCATTGGGTGGACCCACGGCTGCAGAGATGGAGGAGCACGTTATAAAGTACGTTTCGATCGTTTCGCTCTTGTCGAAACAGGTTTTTCTCGCATTTTCTAGCTTAAACGTTTATTTAGTTACCACTTGCTTCTGGCTATCTCTGTCTCTACTCTCCGTGGTACTATTCCTTGCTAGTTTTATAACCGTAGCTATCCCCATCATCACTATAATTACAGCTTAGCTGTAGGTGAGAAACACACTTCAACTATTGTGCTACAATATAAACGATAATATATATGCTAGAATGAGATACTGAACATTACAACATCCCAAAAACCAACAGACAAAGTGCTGCTTAGTAACATATTATGCTCCAAGACAGATCCTAGTTAACGGGCAATGATAAGCGGGAGAGGGAGGGACAGAGAAGCTCACAACACAGAACCCATTGAAGCCGTCTCCTCGAAATGCAAATTCTAATCTTCATTGCGAGAGTGATGTCGCTGCGGCGCCACAGGTGGCCAAGATTGACCAAATTGCCTTGCGCTTTTTCTATGCGGCTTGTGCTCTCATCCTCCATTCTACAGGGGGCAAATATTGCTTGAATCCCTCGACGGCTTCTGGTGAATCATCCCCAAGGGTCAGCGCAGGGGATGGTCCCTGCCAATCTTGAAGAAGTGCTTTGCATTTTGAGAATGCGACACAGCCCGGTATGACCGACTGCCAATGCTAATTTACGCAGTGCTACTTGGTACCTTTGGGAGGTGTCACAGATAGTGGTAATGTTGTCGGCGTACATCAAGTCAAGAAGTCGATCATCTGGAAACAACTCCACACCTTGTTGGTCATGCCCCTTGAACACAGTTTCCATGACTTCATCGACCGCGAAGTTAAAAATGAAAGGTGACAGCGGGCATCCTTGTCTCACACCCCTAGAGATATTGGAGGGTGGCGACGGCTTGCCATGCGCCCCCACTCTGTTCGAACTATACACGTATAGCGCTCGGGTAGTATCTACATGTTTACATACATGAATTGGCTGCATCAGTGTCCGGATTTGTCTGTCACTGTGGCCTCCACCGGGACAGTCACAGGACGCGTGCGCCTATGAGTGGCTTGTGTTGCCCCATCCACACATCTCATATTAGGTGTAAACCTAAAGGAGTGAAACCGGCAGGCATGTGGATGGGAGCCACATTTCAACAACGGACCCTAGCCATACTTCTTCAACATGCACAGCAGCAGCATTCTTGTCTATCTAATTTGAGGATCGGGTTTACCATACGTACACAAGTCGGTGCCTTGGTCGTAGCTCGTCTCACTGGATGCGGCCACTGTCACGCGGAAAGTGCACTCCGTCTCCCCACCAGCAATGATTCAGTATTCTGGAACCAGTATGTGACGTGGTGGAGCGTAGTAGACAGGTAGGCAACTTGTCAACATTCACATCAAGCGCAGCCAGACATTGCATATCAGACGGGAGGTTACATGTGTCAAGCGCACGTCCATCAGATTGTCAGTCTTGTTTAGCCCTACTGAGACTACAGAGCACATCATGTACAGCATCAGCCTCGATCTTGACAACTGCCCAATGGATGTTCAAATTCAGCATAATCGCATTTGTCCACATTTGTGGATAAACTAACCGTCATTAAGATTAGTACCACGAAAATGCATTGATTTTGGTCGGAGGTAAGACTAACGGCCATATTCGTCAAGTTGTGGGAAATCGCACCTACGATGATAAATAACTAATACTAACTGTCGATGTTTACTTAACGTTTAAACGTGAATCTAAATGACAGCCTTAAATTTAGTCGAAAGCGTGAGCATCAACAATAGATAGGAAAGCAAATGTTATCAATGTGGTCGGCCGGTGGTCGAAAAGATTGCACGCCTGGCTTACAATTCTCAGGTCACCGGTTCGAATCCGCGTAGGGGCGGGCGTCCACGTGCTATACGCGGCGCAAGCGTGTCCGGTGGTGGTCGCGTGGCAACAAAGCGTCCGTACAGGGTGTGAAAAGTCGGTCCTTCAGGGACAAAACGTATATTCTACAAACAACAGGACCAGGCGAAAACGGAGACAGAGGGCGAGTGAAACATATCGGTATATACAGCTGGTTGGATCCATACTTAACGACCTTTGTTGATGCATGACATTTTTCCTTTGATTCAGTCAAACAAACTCACTCCAATGCGTCCACTGTTGGCCAATCAGCGTGCATGCGAGAAACGTGTGAACGTCCAATCGGTTGCCGCCTTTGCTTGCGGCAGCCTAACGGCTTCCTTGCTGGGCTGGCACCGCACGTTCGTTCGAGTGTATACTCCCATCACATCCTCCCTTTTTTCATGTTCTTGCTGCTGTACTTTGCTAAATAGTCCGTACACTTTACCACTTCGCGTCCTCTTTGTTGGATCTGCCGATGTCGCCTCATTGCCGCACGCAGTATAACGCTCTCTCCCTGATTCATGCTGTCGCCTCGGACATCTCAGCTGCATTCGGTTTCTTCTCAGCCTCTTCCCTCCAACATTTACTTCGTATGACCTTTCACTGACTTTCGCAGCCATGACTCCTTTTCTCCACCGCTTCTGTCCATCGGGAATCGGTTCAACCCATACTTCTTCCCCAACTGTCAGCTCAGGTAATTCCCGTGCGCCGTTGTCGTAGTACCGTTTCTGAGTAGCCATTCGCCTTTTCAAACTGTTCTGTACTTTCTCAAGTTGTAGCTTGACAGGGCGCAGAAGTGTTGTGGATGCAGGCATCACAGTTCTGGTCCTTCGACTGTATAGGCGCTGCACTGGGCTCAGGCCGATATCCGTTGAAGGAGTGTTACGACTCTCCAGTAGCATGAGGTATGGGTCCTCCCGAGTGTCTCTAGCCTTCGCTAATAGTCGCTTGGCTTGCTTCACTGCCGACTCTGACTTCCCATATGATTGACTGTGATAGGGACTGGTTTGCCGGTGTGCGAATTCCCATTTGGTTGCGAAAACCTGGAATGCCATGCTGCTGAACTGGGGACCGTTGTCCGAGACTAGCTCCTCCGGTATCCCGTGCCGTGCGAATTGACATCTGAGTTTGTTGATTACTGCCTCCGTGGTCGTGGTGGTGAGTAAATCGATTTCAAAGTAATCACTATAGTAGTCCACCGTGAGTAATCCTTTCCGTTGTCCCAGAATAGATCCACTGCTACCTTTTGCCACGGTCGGTCCGGAACATCATGCAACATCATCGGTTCCTTCGTTTGCCGAATGTCGTGTGAACGGCACGCCTCACAGTTAGACACATGATCCTTGATCTGACCTGTCATTCCTGGCCAGAACATCAGTTCTCTTGCTCGATTAATAGTGTAATTTGCACCCAGGTGAGCGCGATGGACATGCTCCAGCATCTCCTTTCGGAGAGAAGAAGGGATTAGGATTCGACTTCCCTTGAACAACAGACCGTCACAGACAGTGAGTTCGTCCCGAAAATTGAAGTAGGGTGTTAATTCTTTCGGGAGCTGCTTCTTTGTTTCTGGCCACCCATTGAGGATAACGTCTCGCAAAGCTGCAAAGGTTTGGTCTTCCTCTGTGAAACACCTTATGTCTTTCAAACGGTTTTCTGTCACTGCCAGATGCTGCACCATGTTAACTGTCTCGATCTCTTCTAGATGATGTTCGGCCACTGGCGGATGTGCTCTTGACAGGGTGTCCGCGATGAACATCTGTGTGCCAGGTGTGTACACAATGTCAATGTCATACTTCTGGAGCCGGATAAGCATACGCTGCAGACGACGAGGAACGTTATTCAATGGTTTAGTGGCTATCGACACCAGCGGCTTATGATCAGTGTACACGGTTGTCTTTCTCCCAAAAGTATAATCATTGAAACGCTCCATGGCATAGACCACTGCCAGCATCTCTTTCTCGATCTGGGCGTACCGCTTCTCGGCCTCTGAGAGTGCTCGACTGCGGAAATCCAAAGGTCTTCCGTTCTGCAACAGAACAGCACCTATTCCACTCTGGTTACTATCACACTGTACCTCCAATGGTTGTGCTGGATCGTAATATCCGAGTACGGGCGCATTACTGATAAGGCTCTTAATGGTTTCGAAAGCCAAATCCTGTTCCTTCCCCCAGCTCCAATTTACTCCTTTGTGAGTTAACTGCCTAATCGGAGTCATGACATCAGCGAGTCCTGGTAGGAACCGGCTTAAATAGTTCACCATACCGTTTAGGCGATGGACTGCCTTCACATCGTTAGGGGACGGCGTCTCTTGTATCGCCTTAATTTTCCCTGGGTCAACTCTGATTCCGTCGGATGTTAACACATGCCCATGGAAAATTACCTCCTCTTTCCGCAGCTCTACTTTCTCGCGTTTTAGCTTGATGTTCTTTTGCACGCAACGCCTCAGGAACCGGTGTAGCTTAGTGTCATGCTCTTCTTCGGTTGAACCGTAAATCAGAACGTCATCTGCCACACAGGTTACGTCATCTAAATCATCTATTGCTTGCACCAAACGCTTTTGGAAAATTTCGCTAGATACCTTCAGGCCAAACTGTAATCGCAGCCAACGATAACGTCCGAACGGTATAGCAAATGTGGTGAGGAAACTGGATTCGTCGTCTAGAACAACGTGCCAAATGCGGAAGAAAGGTCTACTTTCGTGAAAAACTTAGCTTTTGTCAAACGTGATAAAACATCTTCTAACGTCGGTAGCGCATAATGTTCTCTACGCAGGGCCTCATTCAGTGGCTTCGGGTCTATACATACGCGTAGTTCGCCATTTTTCTTCGTAATGATTGCGACCTGGCTAACCCAGTCTGTTGGCTCATCAACCTTTGCAATCACCCCCTGCATAACCAGCTTGTTCAATTCCGCAGAAAATCGGTCACGTAGCGCAAATGGGACTCTCCTAGCAGGTAACGCAATCGGGCGTGCCAAACGATCTAACGACAGGTGAGCGGTACCCTCGAATTCTCCTAAACCCGGGCTAAACACCGACGGATACAGGTCACTAACATCGGCTTCACTCTGACAAGCGTACACAAAACGATCATGGTTAAAAATGACAAAGCCAAGAGAT